ATTTGAACGGGCAAGGTTGAGCGTGGGCAGGGGGTCATTACCCTAAAATTTCAGCCTCCTAGACTCCTTTGTTTCTGAGATACTAATTTACCCGTTAAAAAATTTCACGGGGCTATACGCGTTACCCGCGGGTATGGGAAGCCTGAATTTAAATTTGCCGCGTCACCCGCTGGCGAGGAACACTACACCAAAATTCCAGCCGCGTAACTTTTGTGGTTCCCGAATTGAAAGTGCGGGACAAAGTGTGGGACACACACACAACACACGCATAGATACACATACACACACAGACAACCCCGTGGCAATATGCGTTTTGTAACGCTGTTACACAGCATAAAACGTATAATAATGATATATTGAAGTGTAAAATGACCATGGGTGCTTTTGCAGACGGTGCTGGACAAATGGATTGAAGAATATGAGCGACATCCGGATAATGCACTTGTGCAACTGCAACAATTCTTCATTTCCTGCAGTGGTTGCAAGGGTGTTATTTCATCAGTTATGATACAGACTATGGAATACAGGTAAATTATCATATTTTAGGTGTTTTGACCGTAGTGAAGAATTTGAATCACTGACATTTGTTCAAGATTCTTCTGTTTCATGGGGGCTGAATTTAAAATCTTTGAGTTCTATGTGGACGGGGAACATAATCCCAAAATTTCAGCTTTCTAGCTTTTCTGGTTCCCAAGATAGCGACTTTTCCGCCAAAAATTTGAGGCGCTCGTGCGTGAGGCCTAGACGTGCGTGAGGCCACTCAGCATCATTCCTTTCTTTTGGGGCTGTATTTCATTTTTTGTCTTCCGGTGCTTCATTCTGTTTGGATCCTATAATAGTTTTGAATAACGTATTACCATGGATTAAGTTGGTGAGTGGAAAATTGTCCAAGTGTTGGCATTCTGCCAACGAAAGTTTTATCACCAAAATTGCCGCTGGCTCTTTTTCGTAGAAAATTTGTTGGAAAATAAGCCGAATATTTTTTGAAGATGCTTAACAGCAGCGATTTCAAATTACCCCAAAAACGATTGGCACTAATAGAATTCTTGTTGATCATTGCGCATCTTCGATATCTGTATATCTGGCAGGTTATTTGAAAGTTATCTTCGTTAGCTTCAAACTTTTTTGGGTTTTTGGATTCATTAGACTCTGTAATAATTTTGAATAACGCAGTGCCATTAATTCAGTCTGTGAGTCGGGAGTTCTCCTGGTCTTGGCATTCTGCCAACAGAAATTATGCCGCTAAAAAAGCAGCTGGCTTTTTTTCATCGAGCGTCTTTTGAGAAACAAGCTGAATGCGACGTTCCGTAATACCAGATTACCCTATAAAAAGATTGATACTAATAGGATTCTTGTTGATAATACCTATCTACGATCTTTGTATATCTGGCAGGTTATGTAAAAATTATCTTCGTTAATTTCAAATTTTTATAGGTCATTTTTAAACATTTTCACATAAATCTAGTTTTCTATAATTTAAAATAAAATTGAAAATTAACGATTGAAAACCAGAACATATTTTCATGATTTACTCGTTAGCTCTTGCGACACATTAATTATGAATGTCAGTTTTTTCGCAAAAAA